GTAGGAGCAGTAGTAGTAACAGCTGTATTAATAGTAGCAGAAATAGTGACAGGAGTATCAATATTAAAAGCAGTAGTGACAGGAGTAACAGCTGTAGATACAGTAGGAGCAGTAGTAGTAACAGCTGTATTAATAGTAGCAGAAACAGTGACAGAGGAAGCAGTAGTAGCATCTGTATCAACAGTAGCAGCAGCTGTAGTAACAGGTGTATCAATAGTAGCCACAGTAATAGCATCACTATCGTGAGTAGTTAGAGTACGTGCTTACAGCAATACTGCAATTGTATATTTAGTAATAAATGTGCACACTGAAGATATGTTGGGATGGTGTTAATAAAACGTTGAGCTGGTGGATGACTAAAGAGCTAGTAGATGACGAGAGAGACACTTTTAACAGTTTGCTTTGTGCAAAAGTGGTCCTGCTGTAGCGGTGACAGCACTCTTAAGGCTGGTCCAGATGCTACTGGACGAACAGCCAGAGAAGCGCCCTCTGGTGGACACAGGTGAGTAATACACCCCCCTCTCTCCAATATCAACTCTTACTTCAGGGCTCAGGATTCCCATTCCTGATCCCAGGGTCCTGCTCCTGGTTTCCATTCCAGCTCCACAAATTCGTGCTCCGGTTGCCTCCCGCAGTCCAAAGACAAACTAGTGGGTTAATTGGCTTCCGAGGAAACTGGTCCTGGTGCGAGTGTGCGCATGTCTGTGTCTGTCTGTCTGCCCCGTGATGGCCTAGTGTCCCATCCAGGGTGTACCCTGCCTTGTGCCCGTTGCTTGCTGGGATAGACTCCGGCTCCCCCACAACCTTGTATTAGTAATAATAATTCCTTCCACTTAAATAGCACTTTTCTGGACACTCCACTCAAAGAGCTTTACAGGTAATCACCACCAGTGTGTTGCCCCCACCTGGATGATGTGACGGCAGCCAGAGTGCGCCAGTCCTCTCCCCACACACCAGCTCTCAGTGGGGAGGAGAGCAGAGTGATGAAGCCAGTTCAGAGAGGGGGGTTATCAGGAGGCCATGACTGGTGAAGTTCTGGATAACGTAGTTAGAAAATGAATGGATGGAAATCCTGTTTGCAGCAGTGTAAGTATTTATCAATTCTGTGTCAGAATTGTCTACTGTTCGAGACAAACCAAGAAAACCCCTCGACTGTTCCCTTACAGATCTTGGGGGGTTTCTTTTCTGAGCAGGTCATAACTGAGTAAAAAACACACAAAACATTCTGTATGGTCAAGTGTCAAATTTATTTCTGCACAAAAGCTGAAAGCAATTACTCTTAAGATAAGAACAGAGCCAGGCCTTTTGTGTTGGTAAAGCAACACACACGCGCACACACACACACACACACACACACACACAGTCAGTTGCGTTGTTGTGCTGTTGTGGAACTGTGCTGCCTGAGTCATACAAGGTTGTAGTGCTTCGCTGTTGTAGTGTTGTAGTGTTTTAGTGTTGCAGTGTTTATCTGTGAGCAGCACTGTAGTGTTGTTACATGCTGGGGTACAGCTGCCTGTGCAGGTGCTCAGTGTTGTAGTGTGGTGGTCTGTCAGGTATGTAGCTTCTGCAGCCAGTGTGTCAGGTGTGTAGATGCTGCAGGCAAGTGTCAGGTGTGTCTGTGTGTAGCTGCTGCAGTG